ATATTGTAATTAGTGATGAAATTTTCATCTTTTCTTGGATTTCTTTTTTATATTTTTCCTTTTTTTCTTTTTACATTCTAATTTTTCTAAGTTTTAAATAGATTTCCACATGTTTTTTTCAAGGATTTTTGTAGGTATCTATATGTATACATATGTATGTGTATGTATTGTGTGTATATTCATGTATATATATATATAAATTATTTTCTTTGGGGTACAGAATTTTATTATGGAAATAAAAACAGCAAGACGAGTTTTGCCATTCATGATAAAAAAACAAAACAAAATTGACCATCCGACCGGTTTTGCCCTCACTCAACAGAGCTGAAATTGAGGAAAGGTTACAATATAAAATATAGAAGTATGTGATGAAATAAAGGCAGAATAATCAGATGGAAATAATGTCAAGCCCTAACAAACATTCCCCCTGTTTAGTTTTTCCACTTTGTCATACAATTTCCCCAATATTGTTTGTTATATATAAAACAATATATATCGTTATCTCATTCATTACATACACTCTTTGTGCAAATATCCTTGGGAAAGGTATAAAATCCATCTTTTTTAAATCAACTATAGGCCGAATAGTATGGCACACTGGGCTCTTCAGTCTGTATTGGCAACTGACCTAGGAGAAAGAAAACCCATGTAAATCAGAAATTTGCCAGCAACCACCGGTGTATACATATAAACACATTAGAAATATTAAATATACACTGATAAAAATTATATATCTATGTATTCATAGATACATACAAGGGGGTGCTGAAAATTTTTCAGCCTAACCCACTTCCCAATATCTGATCAGATGACCAAACACCAGGATTTCAGCAGAGAAGGGCTTCTTAGTCAGGCCAAGAAATTTTCAGCACCCCCTTTGGTATATGTCTGTGTGTTTGGGGGTTTGCTGAGTGGCTAAAACCATCTGGTTTCAAATCTTATCATTCTTGATCATGACAAGGGTTAGAGCGTATTGGCATTGCTCAAACTGCTGATCTTGTCAGATTATGGGATCACTCAGCATAGTTGCAGTATAAACCACAGGTGGGCTCTGTGGGTGTTGAACAAAAACAAATGTACCTGAACAAGTGTCTGCAACAGAGATTGGCTAGCCACCCTAGTACATGGGTGTCTTCTCAAAAAATGAGTAGCCTGCCATCATGTATAATTCCTTAGAATCCTAATTATCATCTATAAATAATATAATATTTATTCATATAAGCATATATGTATAAATCAAGAGAGTGTAATAGAATTAGAGGCTTACACAGTTATTTCTATCTTTTAGTTTCTCTCTGTAAGTGAAGAACTATCAAGTACTGAAAGAAAAAAAGAAATCTCGTCATCATATTAGTTTCCCTGTATCATAAACATTAACTTACCTTGATTTGGACTCTTCTGGAATTATCCACCTTATATATCCTTCTTTACTTTTTGTATTCTTTGTATTCTTATTTGCTCTTAGCCCAGTCATGAGCCACTCTGTTTATTAAAGCCTTTGTCAAGGTACTACTTTAGTTCTGTTCCTTATTACACCCTCACAGTTGGAAAACAGGATTATATGAAAAATATGACATGTTGAATAATTAGTAAATCATCCATCCAATTAAGTGACATATGATTTTTTTAGATTGAATAAAATAATTTTCTAAAGAAGCAACCTTTTTACTTATTAATCTGACAGTTTTGTTTTTTTTTCACTTTAAACATTATTTTTAGTAGATACTTGTATTTGAGTAGACACTCCAGTATATTTATCTTTGTCTACCAGATTGAATCAAGAAATTTTATTGAAGAAAAATATGCTGGACAGTGCATATTTTTCTTTAATAAGATTTCTTGAATATTCAGTGTCAACTCAAATATGAGTGAGTATCCACTAAAAATAATGTTTAAATTGAATAAAATGAAAAAACTTGTTATACACAAGTTATATTTTTGCTTCAGTGATTTTCTGAGACCATTGCAGACATATAACAACTTGAGTAGAACAAATATCTTTATTAAAAATGTACTAAGGAAACTTATACATAACATCAGGAAGAAGCAGTTGAAATTTATAGTGCACATAATGAAGGAGGAGGGCTTGGAAAACCTGATATTCACAGGACATATTAAGGGAAAGAGGAACAGATGAAAGCAGTACATAACATACTTGATGAGCTTCAGTAAATGGATGTTTGAACTGGATTTGGGAGAAAGAACAAGCAAAAGGACAAAAGTTATTAAGAGCTACAAGGGTCAGAAAGATGTGGAGAGCCATGATCACCTATGTCCTGAAGGGACACAACACATAAAAGAAGACTATTGGGCAAGGCTGTGTGGGTAGAATAATGGTTATTGATGCAAAAAGTGTTGTCAGTAAACCGAGTTCAAATTCAGACCGAGTCATTCACTTTTATACAAATACCTTTGTAAATGCATGAATCTATCCTCCCTCAGCTATAGGTTAAATAGCATGGTAAATTGAATTTTCTAGCCATGGTTGGCAGCCATTCTTGTTAGGACTATTTTGAATTTGAAACAGTGAAGAAGGCAATCAGAAACAGTTCTATTTTTCCCAATGTTACAGAATGCAGAGGCTTGCCTATGATGTTGAGCATTTGGTCAGAATACCTTGTGAGCATGGTATTCTGACATTGTTGTGTTGCCTTTGTCTAAGTTTTGGGGATAAGACCAAAATACTGGGAAATTGTCAAAGCACAGAAAGAATTTTGAATCATTGACATACTTTCCGCATACAGATTCCTTAGAGAGGCTAGGCTGCACATAGCAGAATGCTATACCAATGAGTGGGCATGTGATCCATGGAAGTTCTTCCTCCCACTACCTTCTAGAATTATGCTACCATGACTGTCCCTCTTGTATAATAAAACAAATAAGAAAAAGAAACTGTCTCTTGTTGATGCAAGCTATGAAATGGCATTGAGGGCTGAAGCCAGTGTTGACACAAAATATATCAGCAATAGTTATAGCAATTTACAGATAACAATGAAAAAGGAATCTGTGGAGAGCCATGATCATTCAGAATGGACATGACATTTTAAAATAAAAGAAAACATGATTGGTCAGTAAATAAATGACTGAAGAACAGAAACAATGTATTGAATCATTGCCTAAACATATTGTTTGGCTGACAGCCTAGTTTTAATGGTGCTGCAGCAAAATGTAAGAAAAGAATTGTAATGTGTATTTTTATTTCCCAAAGGAAATCTTTTGCATAATACTTCTCCAAATGTACATCATTCAGGTCCAGAAATGATGAATAACTCATCTATAAAGACAACATTCCCATTTTGCATGATTAATGTGCATGAGGTGCTAGAGGGGAGAAAAAGAAGAGAGTGAAGACAATTTGTATCTATCTCTTGAATGGAACAGGTGTTACGCTTTGGTCTTTTTTCTCAATAAAAGCCAATATCAGAAAATATTTAATAATGTTCTGTTTCTGCATCAATCATTAATTAGACTCACATGCTTAAGTATCAGCAGTTTCCAAATCCTTCTCACTCCTGTTGGAGGAACCCCTTCCTGAATGACCACGTCTTCAAGGGTTTAGCCATATACTCACCATGCTTGGCGAATTGCTTGTTGGTGAGGCTATTTAACCATTAGTTTTGAATTCATAGCTGTACTTCTCTGAGAATAGTTGACATTCAAGGCTATAGGACCAAGTCTGTCTTGCTGTTCATTGCTTTTTAAGAAAAGATGAATTCATAGCTTTCCCAAGGGTATTTGCATGTAAGTGAATGTAACAAACTCACCTGGAAATTGAATTCCTCAATGATAGTTGCTATCCATTACTCCACCATGCCTCCATCCACAGTTTCAGTTAAACAATAATGTTGAAACAGCTGCTCTTAACCCTAGAAGTAATGATCTTTACAATATTTATTTAATATTGAACAGCCCATCAGCCTATTTGCTTCTCTTATAGAGTGGTCACAAAAAAAGAAAGATTTATTTGTCCATAGAAGTGTCTCACTTTAATCCATGAGTAGGAAAAATGAATGTCAAACCGAAGCAAGAATTATCTGAACAGCCTGTCCAGTCATCACTTTCCAGCCTTGATAGAGTTTAAAAGCATCTTCACAGCTTTGTGGATGACAATTTTTTTCAACCCTACAACCCCTTTACTATAGATGAAATGTAACAATCATCTCATGACCCTATCACTTTTTATCATGACAAATGTTCTGCTGAACTACATTGCTTACTTCCACCAGTTCAGACCTTCACAGCTAAGACCTTCCATGCCACATACACTGGGATGAATCAATCCCATTCTCCTCATATTCCATTAGTAAGAACAAACACATGGGTGGATGCTTCTTCAGTTACAATAATCTTAACCTCTTAAAGGCTAGGATCAACTATTATCTTTCCTACATGTTCTTATAATCTGCACTTCTTACCTCCCCTCTTATTTTCATCCAGCAATCACATTCAATAAATATCTACCTTGAGTGGCTCTTGAGCCTTGTATTGGGTTAACAATTAGGGAAAAGAAAAGTGCAGAGTTTAAATGCTAATCAGCAAGCATGGAAAATCGCTAATAATGTTATCATAAGAGCGTAACAGTTACTTCTCTTTGATCTCTTTATATTCTGGAAAGAACACTGCTCCAAAAACAAAGCAGGTGCCTTTTCTCTTGACTTCTTATTGTTTATGTTTATTCTTATAAGACCACCAACAAAATGAGAATTCTGTTATGAATAAGTTATTGAAAGATTTTAAGTTGAAATTATTTTTTTTTAACATTTTGTGCATGAAACTATAAAAAAGTAAAATAGAAATATGTGCACTTTTTATCCTCATAATCTCCACTTCCTATTCTTACATTCAAATAACACATCTCATTCAGTAACTTTCTGCCTTGAGCGGCTCTTGAACCTTTTATTGGGTGAACAAGAGTTAAAAAAGAAGAAAGTTGTACATAAGTGAATAAATAAATCTAACACAACAAATATTTACTTTTTAACATAATCATTTTCTGGTTTATGGCTATATCACATTGAAACACAAGTTCTCATACAATCGCTGAAGTTAAGCAACATCAAGCCTGGTCACTACCAAGATGGGTGACTGTTTGGAAATACCAGGTGCTGTAAGCTTGAATGTGAGTAATGTAATGGATAATAATTCAGAATTGTAAATCTGAGTTCCAATTCCAGCTGAGTTCCTTGTATTCATTTATGTGCAAATAATCTTTGGAAAGCTATGAATCTACCTCTTCTCCCCCAGCTATGGGTTAATTAGTAGGACTTGTATCAGTAAAACATTATTATATCAAAAAAATTCTTACAATCTAAAAAAATATTTTCTGGCTTTAAATAACCTGAAAAAGGTTGATAAGCCTTAAAAAACAAAATCAATCGATCTATCTTTTACTGTCATACACTTAACCCAATGCTTTTTTTAATGATTCTTTTAATCATAAAGATCAAGAATCATGCAGTGAAAATTTCAAGTAATAACAGTATCCGTATTTATTTGTGTTTTTGTCTTTAACTTTTTTGCTAGAATAAAAAAAAATGCATATATAAAATAACTAGTGAACTTTGACCTTATTCATACATCAGACCAGGTGGTAAACAGCATCTTAAAGTTAACTTGCAAATACTAATGCAAGGATACTGCACTGATCCTTGGCAGGAGAGCTGATCCATACAGAAATAATAATTTTTATAGGTACTGTTCTATGTATATTTATATGAGGAAAACAAAACACATGTAAATATTTTTAATAATGGTAATGATTGGATGACCTCATATGTATATACAATTTTGATTCCTATATCCACAATATCTAAGTAGATAGATAGAGACAGTGTGAGATAGAAGTCAACATTAAAGAATGACCATCAGTTTCATGCATGATCTTCAGACTTGAGTCTAAAGCATGAAACTGACAGTCGCCATATAGTGTTGATTCCTATGTCCACATTTACTATGTCTATAAATGGTCCATCTTAAATATTGAGTACATTTCTCTCTGTAAATCCACCAAATGTTATATATATATATACACATATATATATATATAGACAAACCTACCCAGGTTTCACCTAAACGCATCGTCAGGGAAAGCTAGATTTCCCTGACAATCCGCTTAGGTGAAACAAGAGCCAGCTTTCCCTGACAATCCACTTAGGTGAAACCTGGGTAGGTTTGTCTGGCTCACTAGGTTTGACTAGGTCTGCTCTACAGTTGTATTGAGCTCTTTTTAGTTAGTTGTTTACTCGTGTCAATGTTTTTACTTTGGGCTTTGAACCTGTATCTGTGCAATTTTTTTGACAGACTTTCATGTTCCTGGCTCTTTCTTTTTTTAAAAACTTTTTTTCCTTTGAGATTGATTTGATTATTGGCAAATCAAAAATTCGAAGGTTTTTCGAGACAAGTATAGTTACCTATATATATATAATTAATATAAGTAAAAGTTTGTCACTTAGCTGATAGGTGTTACATTCAGCATCTCAACTACAGTGTTATGTAGGCAGACCCATCTGTCCACTCTTTTTCTTTTTTTTTTTAAATCAGTAACACCCCATGCAAGGCAGTAAAGCCACTAAAGCACAAGGGGTTAGAGGGTGTGGAAGAATTAGGAAATAATGAGTAGGAAAAGAAAAGAGTAATCAGGAGGACAGTAGATAGTAGTTGACATTGCATTTAAATTTTTGCAGATTAAATTTGGCTGGAAACCCTGGAGGTGGAAGGTAGTTCCACAATCGAGAAGTGTGAGAAAAGAAACTTTTAGCATAGAACTTACAGTTACATTAGCCAGCTGAACTGTAAATTGATGAGATGTCAATGCCAGTCTAGTATGGCACTTAAATTCATGAAATCTGGGTTAGTGACTGACACCAAGCTGCCAGATCAGGACCAATAATATTGCTGATTCTTCTTTGGATTTTATCAAGTAAATAGCAGGGGCACTGAATCGTATGCAGCAGCAATATTCTAAGCATAGAGGAATGATAGACTTATAGATATGTAAGATAGATCCTTAAGAGAAATATTTTCTCACATGACATAGTGAACTGACTTTCTTGAAATTAACACGCCATCTTTTGCCCCAGTTAACGATGGACTTGAGGTCTTTTTGAACATCAGTTGCCATTTTAACCTTGTCAGACTGATTAGCCTTATTATCAAGACAGGAGTAAATGGTAGTGTTGTCTAGTGTAAATGTCAAGTTGAGAGTTGGTGTCATCAAGAAGATCATTAATGAAAATTAAAAACATCGTAAGACCAAGGATAGAGCCCTGGGGGACATCTGCATTAGTACAAAATGATGTAGATGAGTAGTTGTTCAGGATAACTTTCATTTCACAATTTGATAAGAAAGTTCAAAAATGTCCAGAAACACAATAATTTTTCACCTTGTGGAGAAGACCTCTATGCCAAACCCTGTCAAGGGCTTTAAAGATGTCCAAACCTACTGGCTGGGCCTCACTGTTTTTTTCTAGAGCATGATAGACTCTTTCCACAATTATCATCAGCACATCAGCAGTTGACATGGAAAAATGGAAGCCATATTACTTGTCTGAGAAAAGGCCCTGCGATGAGAGATGATAAACCAATTCAACATTGATTAGGGCCTCTAGGAGTTTGCAAAAAAAGATAGTAGGCTAATAGGTTGGTAGTTGGAAGGGTTGGATGGTTCACCAGAGTTCTTAAAAACTGAAACAATAGACAATGACTGGGAAGCAGGTGGGAAAGCAGGAGGTGGCAAGACATTCATTATACTTCTTAGAGAGAACAGGGGCCAGTTCGGGAGCACACTTCTTAATGACTATTACATGGATGTCATTGGGTCCACATGCTTTGTGGGGATCTAGATTAGAGATGATAGCAGAAACCATGGAAGGGGTTATATGCATATCACTTAACAGTGTTTCATTTTTAGGTGGGAAGTAAGTCAGGGATACTCCAGATGAGTCAAGGATAGAGTTTGAGAAGAATTTATGGGTAAAGAATTCAGTAATATCAGCAGAGGGTGATAATACTTCAGAATGATTGAAGAACAGAGACTTTTTACTCATTTAACGCCCTATTACAAAACTGCCAGTAATCATGAGAGCCAAAGTTTTTAGAGGCTATGTGGTTCCTTATTCTCTCAGCAAACGGGGACTTAGCTCCTTCGAGGACTTGCTTACATTTATTATGAGCAGTAATGAATAGGCGCCTGTTGTGACAAGAGCTGCAAGAGGTATCACCAATTGACTGCTTATATTTCTCTATTTTTCTTTTTTATGCACTTACCATTGGTGTAATTTTTTTTACTGTATTGTTTGTGTGCATTTGCATGCATCTGTGTGGATGGGCATATGTGTAGGCTGTTGTGATTATTTGTCCTTTTCTTGTTTTCTCCACTTTACACTCACTCCTTAGATTTTTCTCTTTTTTTCCTTTTCCTCTTTTCTTTCAATTGTAGCTATTTGTTCCTATTTATTTCTGGTTTTATCTCTAGACATGTTATCATTTTTAATTTTTGAGTTTTCTAGTCTTTTCTTGAGGTAAGATAGTTGTATTTCGTTTTTTACATAAATAATTGATATTAATGCTTAAATGATAAATATTATTTTGTATCACTTGGCTATTATTTTTCTTTCTTATTTCATTAGGTGGTATCTTAAGTATTAATTGTAGGTGGTTAGGTTTATAATTAAATTTTTACTTATTACTGTTTGAATTTATGTGCATATGCCTGTATTTATACACTTGTGCATACTCACACTCATACATGCATGTACATATATACACATATAAACACACATACACAGGAACATGTACACTTGTGTCTGTGCTTTGTTATTAATAAACTAGTGCTTAAATGGTAAAGTTATTTTTTCTATTTTTAGGGTATTAATTATGGTTTGTTGGGTTTATAGACTGTTTTCTTTACCATTTGAATATATATATATATATATATATATATATATATAGAATATATACTTCTGTACACTCATGCATGCAGCCACATGCAAGCATATATATGTAATTTTTAAATAGTGTATATGTAGTACATTAAATATTTGCTTATATCATGTTTATCTAATGTTTCATTTTTATTTAATGGTTAATAGTTTAATTGTGTTTCCCTATATATTATATATTTTATATATTGAGGTATCAATTATGAGGGTTTTAGGTTTGTTCATTTGTAGCTGTCTGTATGTGTGTATTTATATGTACACACATATAGGTATATATATTTAATATTTATTTATTTATTTGTTTACTTTTAATTAGTGCTTAGACAGCAAAGCAAGCATTTATTTATATGCATACATTTACCCATTATTTCAGTTTACTTGTTAAAGCATTTATTTTGGTTTTTAAAACTAATTATTGCTCATTTTTCCTCTAAACATAGTTTATACTTTTTACTGTTAATAATGTAAGGAGCTGCACATTTTATAATTTTCCATTTGATGTTGGTGGAGATATTGTTTTCTTTTTGGCTCTATATGTATTTTGATAGGGTTGTATTGTTTCTGTATTTTTTTCTTTTGCAGGACATTTTGTGCTTATGATATCTTTTAATTTTTTTTATGTGGCTCCTATGTAAATTTTCTCATCTGTGTTAATATTATTAGTTACAACAGCTTTATATATTATGTTTTTGGTTATTTATTGTTAAGTGGGCAATTTTCTTTGTTTCTGCAGTTACATTTAATGGTGTTATTTTGCTGGTTGTTATTGTTGAGTATTTTTCTTATTGTACTTTGTTATTATTTTCTCCATGTTATCCATGTAGCTGTAACTAATTTTAATTGTATTTCTATTGATAATTTTTCATAACTTGCTGTTTTTAAGGAAGTGTTAGTCAATTATTTTGAAGAATATTTTCCCTACTTTTGTTTTTGTTGTTTCTGTTTGATTTTTTTTCATTTTGTATTCTAGTTTTAATATCTGCTGTGTCTTTGGGCCAGTTTATATATATATATATTTTTTTTTTTTTCATTGAATATTTTTAAGCTACTAGAATTTGTTAAAATTCTTTTATTTATAGATATAGGTATTTATTTGAATACGCTAGGTGAGGGTGCTTGGAATTTTTGTTAATATGGTCACTTACATTATTTACATTATACAGACTGTTATCC